TGGGCTACTTTTTAAGCCGAATTATCCGGTCCTCGTTTGATCGGTATCTCCAGTCCCCTGTCGAACTCTCATGCTAAGTGAAATCATGTGACCCAAGATAGGCTCAACGAGTCTACAATTCATTCGGGAACCGTTGCATGGTCTTCACATGCCAAATAAGGTGATAGATAATTTGTCACGGCTTAGTACGCATGTCCCGAGTGAACAATGCGCTCGTCCTATCTGTAGCATACCAGTGGCCTGATTCGGGTCAGTAAATTATACATTTTCGTGGTTCTTATTCACTAATCAATCAACTTGAGCAGTCCGTGTGTGCGCACGGGTGATTTGTCAACCATACGGAGAACATTACAAACAACAGAAAATATGAGGATTGATTGATGACAGTAGTTGATTTATAGACGACGAGTCACAGAAAGTTCACTTTATATCTAGCTTGAGAAATTCATACTCACTATAGATATTTTTCTATAAAACTCTTTGTGTTGTCAAACGATGACGGGAAAATTGAAAGTATGTGTACGTGTGTGTTGGCAGCAATAGAAAATCTCAACGTGCGGCGTATGATTGATGTCTAGGGAGTAACTAACGTAACCAAATTATCATCCCGGCGGACGTGTGTTCGAATCCCACCATCACCACCACCGCCGGACTCTCCCCATTGTGTGTGTGTGTGTTGAATGGCAGCCCTTTGATTATTGTCCGCTTCCCCTTCTTGAAAACTATATCTTTGTATGTTCAATAAAGGGAAGTAGAATGAAAAAGAATTTGAATTGATAAGCGGCACTCGGGAAGATAAATTCATGAACTGACCTGCGTCGAGGAAAAACGAATCGAAAATGAGATCAGCAAAAAACCCGCGTGTGGCAGTTAGATTACAAAATAGTCTAGAAGCATCTTATAAAGACCTGGGTATTTTGTAATGAAATGACTACATTAGTTTGCAAAGAAACCTCTTCCTCTGACCTGCCTCAAAGCTACCCAAAAGTGCATTTGAGACAAGTAGATAATTATTCTGCTCACTAAATGAAAACTCACATATATATTATGATTTTTGTAATAATATCTCAAGCATGATAACAGGAACACAAAAGCACAGACAATGTCAACTGTTCCCAACAGATTTTCCGTACATGTTGTCAGACACCACACTACTTTACTCAATGCTCCTAATGAATACATTGCACATAGAACGCCAAATGGCGACCATGATCGCTCTCAGTGATTCGCAATCAAGTTGATACTGTATAGAAAAAAAGGCGAATAGCTAAACGCAGTTATTTTGATGAAAGTGAATTGTACCAGTATAGGTTGTCGGTGGTTGTTTCAACTTGAGACCGGATTCACGGTTCACAACTATCGGAGAGCTCTCAGTGTAAACATCCAATCGTCAACTTTACTCGGTCTGCAGTGGGAACTGAGACGTAAGAGATTGGACATCTACACGATTTGCTCAAGGACTCAGAAGGAGGAAGTTGAGGAGTTGACTAACCGCCCTTTCTGTTGTCGATTGCATACATCACGAGCGGTAATTCATAGTCAAACACACCATTTTTGTGTAGACGATAAAAAACTTCGATCGTTTTGTCTAACTGTGATTAGCTTCCAGATTCTGTTGCTCACCAACGTGAAGTTCTGTTCAAGAATCTATTAAGAATATTGCCTGAAAGTGCGATTATTGCGATTGGTTTTGCAATATACCACTGTAATGTACTACTCACATTTGTCAGTAGCCTGGGATTGACGCCGTCTGCTGAACCAGTCACCCTTGGCTAAACTTTATCGGAATGTACGTACACAGCTGTTGAAGTTACCATTTACTAGTTGAATTCAACACATTCTTTGATCAGAATACTTCTTGTTGCTCTCACCAAAATGTTAAAGAGAACTTGTTGCATAAAATACTACTGAATAGTTGAAAGTAGCTTTACAGGAGTCTTTTCACTGTTTTGGACGTACATTTTGAGAAGAGTGAAGAACTTCACTTACCCTGAAAGATTCCCTTCTGTAGGTTAAAAAACATCTTCTATTGTTACTCAAAAAGAAAAAGGATTCCGTATCGTTTTTGTGCAGTACTCCTATAATAGATATATTGCTAACCCAATGAGTCGTCTAGTCATTCCGTTGACTGTGTACTTGTATACTCAATAAATAAAAAAGGAAGCAAAAAGACGGTTCATTTATCTTCATCATCCGTATTACCGTTGCAATGCACTTCTTGTGTTTCACCCTTTTTCTCACAAACACACACACACCAACTACTTCAAGCGGAATCAGGCTATCGTGATGCTATTCAAGAAGTTGTTTGAGATATCGAAGTAAACTTGGTCTTCTGACCAAATAGATAGCATTTCCGTAAAGTTGTTTTATACAAAAATTATTTTACCAAAGATAAGAAGATCCGTTCGTATTTGGCGCTTTCTGGATCTTTGTGGGAGAATAAATGATGTGTGATCAACGAATTGGGTGTTTGCATTTGTCAGCGGTAAACTGTAAGAAGATCATTTTTCAACCCACCGAGGCAAATTAAAATGATGCTTATCTGATGCTGAAGAACTTATTGACTTATGGTTTCTGCTTGAGCAGTCTCATTCACGCTATGCGGTACAGAATGACTTATCGAAAGTAATGCTGTACGCACGACAGACTGTGAATGATCCCTTTAGAGAAGAAAAACCGGTTTTCTATTCCACTGGTGACTGAATGGCGTTCCGTTTGAATTGATGGAATGGAAGTGTAGTACCAATAAAAAATCTTTACTGTGCGCCCTAATCCATACATCAGAACTCTGTCGGTCAGCGAGGACAAAGGCAAACACATATGTTGATATAACAGTGTTCCCAGGCACAGAAAGCTCTCAAGACTTAAGGTCAGTCCATTTCAAGCAGCTTGAGATACAACAAACCCACTTGTGCTACTTGAATGCTTTTATTTTCTTTTGTTACATGGGAACTGTTATTGGCATATGCTCCAAGTCCGCACATGATTTCAGCTAGAGTGAACCCAATATATTCACCAATGACTTGCTCCGTCGTATTGACCTGCATGTGTTGCGAATTCTTTAAACTGCTGTGCAGACGGTTTTCAGTAGCAATATTACACTTAACCGAATGTAGACCTTTTGTTTGTTTATCAACTAAACCCCAGGGTACCGATTATCATGACCAAACACTCGGCCCTACATGTGGCGATGCGATTGATCCCTTCCGTGCTACAACGAAAGACTGTTGGCAAAACCAACGAGACGCAGTGAGCGACCAGCCGAACCAGATCGGGTGCCCTCGAACGAGGCTTAGGAAAACGATGCGTATATGCAAACAAAGAAATCTGAATAAACTCAACTCAGTAATCCTTATCGATCCGAACTGAAACAGCCTGGCACATTACAACCATCCACATATACATATACGAGAGGAAACCTCGTCACTGCTCATCTGATGTTCTCACCAGAGATTTACAATTCTAGGAAAGTATCAGTGGTCTAATACAGATATCCTCAACGCGGAAACCACATCTCGCGACCGTAAAGCTAAACACCACGGCAATGTACTTCTCACGCTCCAATGCCTTGATGGAATAACTTTAGCTTTCCCTATTCGTGAGATGATTTTTTTCTGGAATTCCACCTCCAGGTGCGATCAAGCTGCCGGACTTTGATTTTAGACAATTGCTTACGCGTTTCACGCAAGCAGGATTTTGCATTTGGATGACAAGAACCACATAACAGTGCTGAATACCCGAATCGGCAAGCGGTTCAAAACATGTCACTGGGAAAGATGATATCATCCGTTACTGTTTTTGCAAGCGCGGACAATCCATTTTTAGATCAACCTATATGATGAAGTAGAAAAGGATTTGAAATATAAGGAATGCATGGCGTATTTCATCAAGAAAAAAATTATATTTCACACACGTCTGAATCCAGACTGTGTGCCAAACAAATTAAGATACAATAATCTTCATAAAGAAGGAAAACGCTACATGATTTGCATGTGGGCGAAATATTGCCTGGCCGCCCAGGCCAAGGTAGCTGAATTTTCTTGAGGAATTCACAATCGAAGCCGTCGGCTACACAAAGCCTGACCCACAAGGTAGGGGTCGGTGTGTGAAAACCGCAGTCCATTGGGAGCAGGTGTCCAATTCATCGGATCATTCGCCCTTCGGACAGGGTCAAACGTCCAAGGTGCCCGAAACAACTCAATGCCCAATCGAGCCGGTGACCACTGTCACAACCGAAAAAGTTTAGATGTGGTTATTATTGATCGGCCAAGTTATATTCTTAAAACTCTGGGCTTCACTCTGGCTTTCTTTATCCCTGTGCTTGAACAAACCGATGTGCTATTCGGATATTTCACAGACAGTAATATTCTTACAACAAAAACTATGACTGCTCGATGCCAGCGGTTTGGAGAAAGAAGCTGCTATCCATCACACTTTGAACTATGCTTGTGAAAGCTAAACTTCACTGGCTGAATGAGATTAGAGACCGTAGGTGCTTGACCACTGGTTCTTACCCCGATTATTAAAATTCATTTTGATATACTGCTTTTCTAATAATACATTCTGAGTGCGGTATGTAAACATTGAATAAGTATCGGAACTATTTCAGCGTGCTCGCGGACATTGACAGCCAAATCTCAGGACGCCCAGTTATCAAGTTTTCCACACCAGTCCTCAGTTCTTATCCTCATCGAAAGGGAAAATTGAAGTACAAAATCTCAGTATTTTTGAATATAAAAGTTTTTTTCTCGATAAACGCACACTCTAGTGATCGTCAGTTGGTTTGTAACTCTTTAGATGCTCCTCAGAATGAATGTATCAAATGAGTGCTACTCATTTGAAAGGTCTAGGGATCAAAAATTAAAAGAAAGAACAACACAGTTTGCAGTATGATTACGAACGTCCATGCATGAGAATCAGCAACTCGCGGTCTGGAAGTGTTTTGAGTTGGATTGACGTAAGGCGTGCTGGGTGACTATCCACGACAGGTCTCTTCAATCTCACGCATATCCATGCGGGTTTTTCGTTTGCCATCGCCACTGATCTTCGCACATTTTCTGAAATAACAATTACGATTCGTGAAAACGGAGTTTGAAGCAATTGTGATCCGCACTTGCTCACAATTACAAAGAAAATTGTCACTGTTCTCCCCATTCTTTGACTACAATTTTGTTGTTGAATGCCTACATGTGGGAGTAAATTGTATAGGGTCTTTAGTGAGACGTATTTCTAAGGCTTGAGTCACCATTTGTCTATCTTTTTTTCTAATCACTAATAATTTTCCAAATTACTGCGGGATATTTGTGAAAACGTCAGCGCAGCACTGCATGTAGCTCCACGGGGTTCCCAGTACAACTCATCCATCCAAAAGGGAGACTTCCAGCCGGGTGTATAAGGTTTCCGGCCCAGATGAGCTGTACCTGTCGAATAGAGTGCCAGTTTTGGTTTTGGCTGAGGTGAGAAACTCCTGGGTAGAGGGAAAAGTTCCTGTCTTGTTCCACTAAATTGAACATTCCAGGCTTTACTTTTCATCGATATGTGCAGTCAAGAGACAGCGACCAAACTGTGCTCGAAAGCTCACGGTTAATGGTTGCAGAACATGAAAAAGGCACCGATCACAATGCTATATATTTATGCTGTTATGTTCCGCGTATTGTGTAATATTATCCATAAAGTGACAAAGATGATATTGATTTTCATGGAAACCGTGTACTTATAAACCGCACTGAAACCATTTCACCCCAGCAGACTTGACGAACACTACAAGTGACACACAAACTGACTGTAGACTTCTCTTTAAAAGAGCCCATTCTTGGAGCGTCTTAATGTGAAACCACTATTTCCGTAGAATAAAAAGAAAAATCAATCACTCACATCCAGTCCGAATTTCGCTTTCCAACCGAGCTCTCTGGCGGCCAAACCAGCATCGGCGAACACCATGGGAGTATCACCTTCCCGACGTGGACAGAGCTTATATGGGATAGGTCTTCCGCTTGCTTTCTCCATCTCACGGATAATCTCTAATACGGAATAACCCTTTCCCGTTCCAATATTGTAAACCTAATCGGCGGAAAGGAATGCAATTCATCATAGAGGGAACAAATTTTTAAAAAATGGTAAAGTTAAGAACTTTGGAGCGTGAATTGAAATAGAAATACATTCCGCTAGTTTTGAAATCATGTTCTGTGAGCCGGAAACTCACTAGGTATCAAGGAAGTATCCCACTGAGTTCATTGGTGATCTGTGATGATTTGGTTCATCAGCTCTATTTTGTATTCCACTCATCTTTCAGGTCATGCTTTTAAAGAAAGCGTTCCTACTCAGTTAATTCATCCAATGATTCAGAGCAAAAGTGAACTATTCAACCTAGTCGGTTCTATTACCGTTGTAACGAAACCTTTTAGATCAACAGTGATCGCCACTGGATCTTGCGCAATTACCGTTGGCTCCTAGGTGATAGCAAACGCTGCAGTCTAAGTGACGGAAGTCATAATTGAATGGGAATAGAAATTGCACACTTCCTAAAACTGCTTCGATTCAAGAGTAAACTTGCATCTGTCTACTTTCATGGCATAAGCGCGCCGTAGCACATCTTATCCACGTCCTAGCTGGTATATACCAAGGTGCCAATGATAATTTTTGGATTTAACAGAACCAAGCAATTATCCCAATTCTCACCAGTAAGCAATTTCTAGTAAAGCATAGGTTACGACACTATCTGGGCTACCAAATAGAACAAGAGCATTGCAGTTTCTGGGAGGCGATTTCTTGATGACATTCGTTGTTTGTTTCATTGAACGCGTCTAACAAGAACAAAGATTACTAGCTGCTGATCCCGTGTATCTCTTTGTCCAAGTTCAAACTACCCAAGCAAATACTTATGTCAGATTTATGTATACACCCGTCAGGGAGAGTGGTGTTGACATTGCGAGTTCTGTGTATCCTGTTTATTAAACCGTTAATTCGGTAGGCAGTCATTCATTTAGCTTGAACGAATACTCATGAGCCTACCTTCAGTCCACAGTTTTTCTCGAACATTTGAATGGAAATGATGTGCGCCCAAGCCAAATCCACTATGTGAATATAATCCCTGATGCCTGAAAAGAGATCGACAGAAAAAAGATGAAGAATGGTTCGATAGATCACGTGGTCACATGATATTCATTCCAACCTGAATAAGTAAACTGATGCACAACCTATGTAGACTAATCATGAAAGTTAACAGTGATAATGCGTAATCAGTTGGATGCCGTTTAAATTCGACCAATTCCACGTCAAAATCAATAAGGATGTCGTATGTAGGTCGGAAAAAATGTAATCCAAAGTGCGCATGGTTGCGAATGATACACAGACGGTATCACAGTGCGCAAACTCTCATCGTGCAAACATCATGAACTAGTTTGACTGAGAACAACTTTTAAACAGTTTTAATAGCCACAGTGACACTTGCTTGATGAGTAATGTATGCTTTATGGACAGATTGTTCTCTTGAAAATTTGTACTTTACTAGTATAACTCCTTTGTTTTAGAATCTCAACCAGAATTAAAGGACCTCGAAGGTTCTTCTGAATAGGTTTCCCTGTACACATTCTATCAAACTAATACACCCCCTTATTTTGCAAATTTCAAAATGTTTCGTGACGACCAGTATTCACAAAATCACTGCTACTCAACACGTGCTCGTTGTGTGATCGTTTTTACCAACATGTGAACAGACTATGGAAGTTGGCTAACCACGATTTTGAGTCGCTTATGATGAAGCGGAATTCGTTGTCCACAACCGTGATATCGACTGGGCTTGGAAACCGGTGTCTTCGACGTGGGATCCATCGTTTGAAGGGCGTCTCATCCGACTGATCGGAAACCAGGCACCCCAACCACGTTGTGTCACCCGTAAAACAATCTTGCCTAACACACAATACCATGAAATAACAATAGAAGCAAATATTTTTCTACCGTAAGTTAAGCAATATTGACACGACAATCATTTCTGGGTATCTTTCAGTAATTGTAATATAATAATGGTTGGGAGTATTTTTGTACGAAGTAAAACCAACGGTTTTATGTAAATAGACAACGAAAGGTTAGGAAATATAACGGTTAGCAAACCATGAAATACGTACGCCACTACCAATGCAGACTGATAGTTTCAAAGGTGAGCTAACCTGTTCCATCTGGAGTGTTGTAATCACTACCGAACACGTTTACATGTGGTCGCTGTCCGAGGGCAACCTGCGTAACATACGGGACGCTAGGGTGCTCCCCAATATCACCAGACGGATGTGCGCCAATTGGATTAAAGTAGCGCAAACTGACCACATTCCAGTTCGGATCCGATCGACAAAGATCCTAGATCAATATGATGAATGGAAAGAGATGTTCGGTCGTATTCAACCGTATTCAACTTTGAAATGATTTTTAATAATTTGAGCTGACTATCCTTCAGACTTCACCTTAACGCACAATCCTCAGTTCACCGATTCAACCATACACTCGGAAGCACTAGATTCGAGTTTCGCTCTTATTAGAGCTCATCAGTAGTGCATATCCACCGTCCTGTCCGGGATTTGAACTCCGGACCCATCGCATGGAAGGCCTGTGCGTTACCACTGTGCCAACCAGATCGTGCCATGGCTGAACCAAATTGCAAGTGCTTCCGAGTGTATGGTTGAATCGATGATTTTATGATTGTGCGTGAAGGTGAAGTCCGAAGGATAGTAAGCCAAAATTATTAAAAAAACAATTATCCCACACCACTACTCACAAGTAACTGTGAGTCAAACTTTAAATTTGAAATGATTTGCAATGATTTTATCTGGACCAGTATTCTGACGTGATGCCTTAGTACCACAGAAGACCGCAGAATTGTGTTGTTAATCGGTCACTTTCCTCCAATTTCGTTGATCGCTCAGTCAAAGTGATGGTGAAACGTGCGGATTTATTGCAAGGCATTACTTGGTATTTAATATGTCGTAAACGACCATAAGATTCTTACCGGGCATATGCAGGATATTCTGTTTTCTCTCTAATTGATATCAAGACAGATAGCACTGTGCTTTAAATCATTGATCGGTTACTTTTGAAGGGACTCAGCGCCTGTGTTCATTGCTGTGTCTTTAAATGTTTCAAACCAATATCGTTCTGCGCACACTCACAGCCACACCAGGGACCCTAAAAGTTCGTGAAAGTCAGTTCGAGATAGCAGCGGTCAATACGTACATCTGACTACGTTTGACGTCCATGTTGCTGAACAAATATTGCATCACCAAAAAGGTATCAGTTTTTGTATCGTGTATAACGAATAGGAAAACAAGGTCTGATCAGCTGTCTGATGGCCGGAAGTTTAGTAAGCACTGCGTCCTGACTGTGAGGTCCAGAGTTCGATCCCAAGCTCGGCCGGTAGGTTCGCACTATACTGATGAAACGCAACCAGGTCAGAGCAGTTTTCCTACCTTTTCGGTGCATGTTTGATTTGTTCTTCTACACAACGAAATTCATCATATGAAATTACACTTCTTAATAAGGACCATTTCATTGGAGTGTCAGTAAGAAACTTACACAACTCGTCACTAACCTTCGTGGCGCTACTATCTAGCAGTACAACTAAGAGGTGGACTTGAAGAGTGTGCATGCATGCCCTGGCTCAGACTTCAGCTCCTATATCGGTCTCGGGAACCACGTAGTATCTAAACTCACTTACATACTTCAACCCCGCCTATGCATAGCTTGGTTAAGTGAGAACTACCGTAAAGCCTCCAGTGCACAGTGAAAACATTCAAAGTCAGTTACAACAGTTGTGGTCGAATTGTACCCTACTGAGTGCGCATGGCTTTCTTTGGCAAGACATATAAGAATGATTAAGTGATCAGTAAATTTTGATAAATTGAACGGAAGAGGTTCTAATTCGTGAATTCAAAACCTGATATAAGGATGCTGTTCCTTCTGTCTTGGTTTCTAAACCAGAACTGTCACGTGTATATCATTTATTTTTGTCCACCCTGGCCCTTGGATTTGGATTCAGTTTGACGCTACCCACTAGCTATTTTAGCAACCTTAGCGATCGAATCATACGATTCGCTCATACCAAGGTTCCGTGAAGTCAATGGGTGTTAATTCCTTTTCTGCGGAATTAGAAGGACTGCCTTTCCGTGTTAAACCTGACGAAAAGTGACGTGCAAATAAGCATACGTTCGCTCACCAGGCCCTCTAAAGATCTCTCCCATTTTCTGCCTAACTTTTGTTCTATTCATTCTTGAATATCACCGCTCTTCCCGTCCAGCTAATCTCCTACCATTAGGGTCATTTCCATTTGTGTAAATTTAATAAAGGGGATTAAAATACCATTGTCCTTGATATACATTCAACACCGGCTTGGGCAATTCAAGAATCTATTGAGTAGTCAAAGGAAATACGTTTCCCTGAGATGACACATCGAAAAGAAATTTCTTAACATTCCCACCTTTATTTCTTTATTTCTCTCTCTGGATAAAACAGATCCCCATTCCGAAATAAGCGCACACCAGTTGACGTAGGCTACGGGATCGGCGTGCTTGATTTTTCATTGATTATTCGATTAATTGACCCACTGTCTAGACATATTAGTTACTCAAGTATCCGCGTTTTGGTACGTGCGTGTGCTTTTGCGAGCTTACATACACGTGACCACTCTTGCTGCTTATCCTCTCGTGAGTGAGACAATTTGATCCGTTCGTGTTCTACTGGATCACTCTTTGAACACATCCGTGTGCCATCACATTCATTCTTGATGTGTTTTTATCTTGGCCAATACATTTGTTTTCTTAAAAGTTGTGCCTTAACGACGTGTCTTCCACTGTGCATTATTTCACATCCTGTCAACACAAGGTTTAAAGTTTGATCTATTTGACCTTTTGTTGATGATCCTTGTAGTGTCATATTACTGAAAAGTTTTGACTCGTCCATTTGAACATAGGAATCTGCGTGTTATCCTGTCGATCGATTGAATTAAGCATGTCGGTTGCAAAACCCGACCGCAGGCGTTTTGAAGAAATGTACTGATATTCACCCTCAAGGCATTGTTTCGAATCATTGAAATCGATCTCGTTCAAAGGGCCGTCACTGTCGAAACACTCCAAGATCTCGGTGAATAATTCAGTGTCCACAGTAGCAAACGGTTTTCCAAATCTTATTCGATAATTTCTTGGCTACTAGCAAGAATTTAAGTAGCTGAAACGCAAGTATGAGTCAAAACACTAAATACAAAACCAAGTATTTCTACCAAAGCCGCTCAGCGGCGGGTGGAACGTTGACTCCATAAAAAAGCACACAAGTTGTAAGCTACTTGTTGACGAAGAGAACTAAAAGATCACAGGCGGATTCCGAGAACAAGCTAAACACAAGAACGTCGGTTGGTATACATACGGACCAAGACTTTACCCGGTGACGTCCTACGTTTTCCTTTCCATGAATTGGAAGCATGTTCAATATTTTGGATCACTAGAGGTTGAAATGAAATCAAAAAGCGGCATAAATTATATTCTCTTCACGGGTCCCTACAGGCCAATTACCGTCAAAAGTAAATTTCGATACCTTAAGCAAAGAGCAGTAAACATAAATGAATTGTTTTATTAGTTGGTGAGTTCAGCCCGTATAAATTGCCTGCCGAAAGAAATCCACCCCCACACACACACCTTCAGTATGATTTCTGCAAAGAACTTCGAAGCTCCGTATGGATTAACGCAGTCTCCGATTGGATGCTCTTCGGTCAACGGTAGGAAATGCGGTGTCCCGTACACCGTGCAGGAGCTGGAGAAGACCAGATTTCGTACATTGTGTGAAGACATGACCTGAAACAAAGCATGAGACAGAACAACTGTGACCGGTTGCGTCGTGAAAATCGCCAACGAGCCGTACAAATGGCAAAGTTGGTTTGCCGCAAACTCAAAACTGACTGTTATTTCCACATTGGTTCCTCACAATCGGTCGTTCCCCCTTGTCAACTTACGCCAAATTTGTGTTAACCGTGTAATCAACTAGGACAAACCCGTAGACATAAACGGTCACCGTTATCCAACGTGCGGCTAAGACAAGATCCGGGTAAGTTAAAGTCGCCTTTGGATAGTATATGTGTTTGTGTAGCCATCTTCGGTATACGCTTTTCATCTTCAAAGAGCAAAAGGTTACTACACCATTGAGTGCGCCCAGTCCCCAAAATCACTTTAACTGAGGTAGTGGCAGAGAAAGTGGATAAATTTTGTTATTTTGGCAACAATATCCTTTTTGGTGGATACGTCTAGGATCAAGCGTTGGCACTTGCCAACTTGAGACATCTGTGGCGCCGTCGTGACATCCGGCTGTCTGTGAAGTGTCTAGTATATACTGCACCAGTTAGGCCAGTCCATCTTTGTGGAGCAGATTCATTCATTACGGGAACCGGATAAAAACAGATTGTCGGTATTCGAACACCGTTCCATACGTCGCATTGCACGAGTCTTGTGGGGTAACCGAACGAGCAATGCTGAAGAGATAGGAGCAAAGTTTTAGGTAACCATGGCCGTCCACCGGAACAAGTGGTCTACCTCCACAGACTGCGGTGTTTGGGACATATGCTGCGTATGTCACCAAATAGGTTGCCACGGCGAGCGATGCTTGCCCCTAGGCAGTTAGTGCGTGAAAGAAAGCTAAGAGTGGTCAAGCTAAGACCTGGCATGAGGGTATGAAAACCCTAACTATGAGTCTGGGTCACAAAGGTCCCGTTAGGCTTCCTAAATGGGAACCCCGATATCATGGTTATCGGTGGTTAGGGTGATATGGCTGGGTGTCGCTAACGGTTGCCCTTGTGCATATACTCGTAAGCTTTCAAATCTGAGTCCATGGCATTCAAAAAATAGCAACCGGTATTGATTGTAAAAACGTGAAACTGTAACTGATTACAATTACTACGTTATGGACACATAAAGGCACACTGACAGGTCTATTGGATCCCTGCTTTGTTTAGAGCAACCCTAATGTCGATGCCCTCTTTTTTCTCTGGTTTGTTCAGAAATTCAGAAACTCAGTTCTGTAGTGCAAACAGAACTTCAACGAATTCACGACGTATAACTAAACACACGTCAAAGTGTTAGGTAATGCGAAAACACGATCAATTGATTTTGATCCGCTCATTCATTGTTGACCTCATGCGCACTCGTTTTATTTTCTTATCTCTCGATAAACATCTCTCAGAAGCTTGAGAACAACTGAACAAAATTAATTGTTCATTTTTCATCTGCGTCTATGAACTAATTGCGGTCGTTCTTGATGCAATGCTGCCTGGTTTTGATCTAAGAAACCTCTGAAATAATTATGCAAAGTAGAATTTATCCAACTATTCAGTAGTAAAAGTACTAGTAGGAGTGGTAGTAGTACTACTAGCAGTAGCAGTAGTAATAGTAAAAGAAGAATTAGCAGTAGTGGTAGCAGTAATAGTGGTAATATTACAAGGAAAATAAAAAGCATTAGGAGTAGAAGATGAATTAGTAGTAATATTAGTGCTAGTAGCATTAGTAGTAGTAGTAATGATAGTACTAATAGTAGTAGTAATAGTAGTAGTAGCAGCATAAGTAGTAATAGTAGTAGAAGAATTACCAGTAGTAGTAATGGTAGTAGTAGTAGAAGAAGTGTTAGTATGAGAGGACTTAGCCGTAGTAGTAGTAGTAATAGTAGTACTACTAGTAGGAAAACTGGTAGTAGCAGTAGTAAAAGAACAATTGGTAGTATTATTAGTGGTAGTATTCGTAGTAGTATTGGAGGTAGTAGAAGTAGAAGAAGAAGAAGTAGTCATTGTTGAAGAAGATGCAGTAGTAATAGGAGTAGTAGTATTAGTACTAGTAATAGTAGTAGTATGAGTAGTAGTAGTAGTAGTAGTATTGGCGGTAGCAGTAGTAATAGAAGTGTAGCAATTAGCAGTATTAGTAGTAGTAATAGTAATAGTAGTAGAAAAACAATTGGTAGTATTAGTAGTAGAGAAAGAATTAGTAGTAGTAGTAGTAGCAGTTGTAGTAGTAGTAGTAGTATCGGCAATAGTAGTCATAGTGGTAGAAGAATTAATAGCGGTAGTAGTGGTGGTAATAGTAGTACTAGTAGTTGTTGTTGTTGTCGTGGTATAAAAATGTTCTTCTATCCTCTACTAGTTGAGCACTACACAATTTGTGCATTGACATCTCCATGGTTACTCGTCAAATGACGTTACAAAGCTACGTTCTGTCGCAAGACGGGTGAAAAGCAACCGTGAGAGGGAAAGTAAACCGGCGACACTAATGCCACGGGAAATGGGGGACCAGCTAAAACATAGATGTGCGAGCGGATGGGGTGACAGTGAGGATAATTGGAATCACAGCGTCAAACGTCGTGGTGAATCGATTTACTAAATGGGATGAAACTTACTCGCAATAGAACCAACAAACCGGTCACATTGTTCTCGTAGTAATCCAGTGGTTTCTTCACAGATTCGCCCACGCTTTTCAAAGCTGCCAGGTGTATGACGCAATGGATCTTATACTGTACTAAAACAAACGCAAACACCCACAGAGCGTTAGCAATCACAGGAGTGTAATGACTGATAGACGGGCAAGTAGATGGACAAGAAGAGGACAAAAATTGTGTTGTTTTACATCGCAGACGAAACAAATAATTACTCGTAAAATGGTCCCGTTGATGTACAAGAACAAAGTAGACACTCTGATCGAGGACTAAGCCTTTCATCGTTCAAGGATAAATTGCCTCATCAGTTCAAATCTTTTGTTGTATATCAGTGTACGTGCACTCGTAGTGCTTGCTATACCGGATAAACAGCAAAGCGTTTGTCAAGGAGATGATCTAGACATTTCCCAGCCTCTCTTCGAAAAGGGAACAGTGAGAAACTTAAAAAGCTCAATCCTGCAATATATGATGCACAGTGCACAAAGGATTGACCCAGAAACATCATTTATAAGTTTCTAAACTGCAACTAAGAACCGCAGCAAAGGATTGCATCGGAAGATTCTGACAACCGCGGCACCCTTAGTAATCAGGATTATAAAGTCAGAGTTGTGCAAAAACCGTAAGCTGCTTGAAGCGCCACGCTGTTGCCATGGTCATAAAGATAAGAGTCCTATATTCCTGTGTGACATCTTTTCCATCCTACCCACCCCTATCCCCTGTCCTCATTTATTGTATTTTCCCATATGTTCAGACCTGCTTTATTCACTGTTGACTAACGTCTTTTGTATTGTGTACAGTTCAGATATTTTTACCCGAGGTTTCCCTATCCAATTATCTTGCCCCTATAACTGGTTTTCAACCGAACATTTTGCACATACATTCATTCCACATCAGCTTAGGCCTTGTATTATTCTATTAACTGAATGCCTGAGCGATATATTGAGAATAAATAACTAAGCATTAAGCGAGGGGAGATGATGTTTCCTCATTTGAAAAGCATTACCTCTATGTTGGTCAGTATTCCGGCTATTCACATGTGCAACGGGACTTGCAAAGTTTCATGTTTCAAGCCGGAAAACACACCTTGGCATACCTTTTGAACTCGATAGATATTGATGGTCATATATGGTGTCTTGCCAATAAAAAATACTCAACCTCGACTACACCATCATCACAAACCCAAGATTAAGCCAATTTCACTGAATGCAAATCAGTGTCTTTTGTCGAAACAAATGTACCGCACACGTCAAAAGAACTTCAGTCGATCTTACTGCACCTACACCTTATCTGTCAAAAAGGCAGAATAAAAATCCAGTTAATGCTGAGACTGCACATCATCTCTTCCCCTTTACCCAACTCCAGTTCATTCCCTGACCAGTCACTGTTATGCTCCGATCAATTTCACTTCGGACTGGCTTCGAGTGAGCACCCTTCCAAATTCACCTCTTCCTCCCTCGCGAACATGATGCCCCTTTGATCGAGCTTAACAAAACGCCCAAAACGAATTTCCGTACTGTTCCAGCTAATCAATCGTGTATCCGAACCGAATGATGTAGAATCCGAAATCCTGAACTTGAAGTCATGGAGGGTCTGTGTGCCAACTCTGGTCAGTTAGTTACATGGCGGCGGAAAGCTTTAAAAGGCCTTCGCCAACTCTCTTTTTGTTCTTTAGTATTATCCGCAGCACATATGCGTCGGGACCGTGACCGACCAAATCCGAATGCATGAGCGCATACATGTTGCCATCAATTGGATGAGTCAGATGAATCTGCTCCATCCAGTAACCATCCAAAGAAAAGAGGGATAAATAGCCAGGAAATGTTCCACTAATGTAAATAAGTTACCGTTTCGAAGACATTCACCAGGCCAGTTAATTCAAGATTTACTCTCACATGTATCCTTGTTCTCCTCTCCCCATTTGGTTTGGAACCCGCATCTTGTTCTGTGGTAAATGTATTTATCATTCAAAACACTTGCGGATCATTATACCTAGCGCACGTAACATATTCAATCGTTGACGAACCACTTGACCTCGAAACACCTGATATGTCTTAGTTCAAACACACAACTGTCAGTGCTTGTGTTTTGATTCAGATCCTGTATCACATGCCACCTGTCTGATCATTGACAGTAGTATGATACATCTCAATCAACAGGATATAATCCGTACCACAAAACCTGTCAGCATTCGAGCACTAGTCCAGTTCTGTCTT